AGCAATTTTGCTTTCTGTATGTTAAGAGTAGACTGGAAAACTCCTGTGTTGCCCTGGCCTGCAATACAACAACCTGCAGTCAGTGCCTGAGACCTGAAGGGCAGGCGATACAACGGATATTTTCACTTTAACAAGGTAATCTTTGCAAGGACCTTCTTGGCTGAGTTTTAGGATTTCTGAAACACAGCAGAGTGCGCTGAGTCACGGTAATCTGGTGGGGACAGAAGTCCAGCAGGAGTTACAATGCAGAACAGAAGCTCTCCATGTTTCCCACATTTGACTACTCACTCAGTAAACAACAAGTTTTTCCTAGCTGTGAGTAATGTTAAAAAAAATGTGCTAATGCTTATTAATCATCTCTTACTTCATCATTATTCATGCTGATTTGCACAATAATGAGTTAGTTGTGTACTGTATTTCAATAACTTGTACAAATGTACTCGTGCTCAATGTGAAATCCTGCACACAGATTAAGGGAAGGATCTCCATGGACTTGAGCTGAATCAGGAATCAAATGTCTGCTCCTGCCAAAGGACAGCTTTCCAAAGCTTTTTGCTGGCAGTTCATTCATGCAAAGCACAGAGCTTTTTGCACTTCAGTGCTGAAACTTCTGTAGCCAGAGTTTAGATGAAACTTTTTTAATGGCATCCTTACTATGCTGTTAACATGTTCCTTGCTTTTGCACTCTTCAGATACTCATCTACTCTAGTTATTTCACACTGTATTTATTTATTCATTACTTATTCTCATGTGTAGTGCTCCCACTGTTTTAATTACCTTAGCATTTTGTTTTGTTTTCCCAATGCTCCGATAAAGTTTGATCTTCCTATTTCACTTATTAAAAGCACCAACAGTAGAACACATCAATTGGTGCAGAACTGTCGTATCAGAACGGCATCTCCAGTGTTACTGCACTGTAAGTGCTGAAATGGAGAAGGTATGAACAGCAGAAATATTCTGATTGACTCAGCAATGGAAAATGGAGGGATAGTGCATTTGTTCAAAACATGAAGAACTGAGGAAAAACTGTCCTGTGCTATCTTTCCATGCACTGGTTTCAGCAGCTATGCATCACCTGTTTCACTGCTGCATAAATTATACAGCAATTTAGGCAGCATATGCCAGCTGATGAAGTAATAATCAGGATGGCATTACATCAACACCTAAAAACAGCTTCACATCCTTCTTATTAAAAAAAAAAAAAAAAAAAAAGTATCAGGGAAAGTCTTTGTACTTATTTTAGTGTAAGATGCACTTTAGTTTTATGGACCAGGTCTTAACAGCATTGATCATAGCTTATATGAGAAGTCAGTCGAAAAAAAGTACTATTTGACATTGCACAAACTTCTTTTTGTGGGGAACTTTATACTATGTCTCTCTCTTCTTCATCCCTCCTCTTCTCTGCACTCGCTCTTCTTCATTTTAAGCAGCTCTGCAGGAGGAGCCACAGAAGGTTCCAGTTGTGCATCAGGCTTCATATGTGGCAGCATTTCAGGATGCTGGGATCAGTGCAACTACTGATGACAGATCTATCTCCAAAGGTACTGTACTGAAGGGAGTAACAAGTTCTTAAGGCAATGCAAAAAGGTAAGCGTTGCAGAAATGCTGTCACAGCCTGATTAAGCACCCAGTGGGAAGGCAGGGCCAACCCAGGGAAGCTCAGGTGTATGCAATGCAATGCAGTGCACCTGAGTGACAGGAAGGGCTCCACCCGTCCCAGACCTCATTTAAGGGTTGGCAGTGGAAGTAAGGATATCTTGCTGTCTACCTCAGGTCTTCTGTGGGTAAGCAGATTCTTTCTTTTGTTTCTGTGTCTTAAGGTGCCACGTTTGGGCATATCCTCAGTTACTGCAGCTTAGGACTTTGCTGCTATGGTGCCATTACTGTGCTTTCAGTTGTGTTACAGTGTTAAGCGTAAGGCAATGTGGACTCCCTTGGTAGAACTGGGATTTGGAATTGCAATCTTGATCCTTTTCTTTTGCTCTGTCTGGTTTTATGGTTTAAATAGTCACTTCAGTTTATGAAGTAAGAATGCCAGAAATAGTGTGTGTGTGTGTGTGTGTGTGTATATGGCAAATATGTATATGTATGTATACTACTTCTGGCATTGAAACTTTATATATATATATAATTATGTATATTAATTATTTATATTATTATGTATATTATATAATATATATAATAATGTAATAACATAATAATTATATATATGTAATAATAAAAATTATGTGTATATATATATTTTTTTTTCAGTGAAGTTTTCCTATATCAGATAGGACCATTTCAGTTTCCCAAAATGCAGTCCTTTAATGCTTTTAAAAGCACTATGACTTGCCACAACTTTGTATTTCAGCAATTTTTTTTTTTTTTTTTTTTTTACAAAGCTTTTTTGCACAGTTTTTTACTTTTTTTTACAAAGGGTTTTTTACAAACTCTTTGCTGTCATGGGTTTAATAGTCAAAAGCAAAATTCCAGTAACGTTGTACGTGCAATAAGACAAATCTTATTTCTTGTATTGCAACAAAACATGCATTGCCATCTGATGTTTCCAGTAGTTCCTGTCACAACTTGTCTTCATAGAATGATTTCATAAAATACCCAACAGCTCGTTAGATGAAATCTGCTTTTTTTTTTTTTTTTTTTTTGGCTGAATCCAGCTGTATCATCTGCTAGAGCCCTTAAACCTTAGCAGAGGTCTGAAAGCCACACCTGGCTCTGATGCTTCTGGAGCTGAGACATGGTTTGGGAGTTCCAGCTGAACTCACTGATATTCAGTTGAACATGACATGCTTTTCTTTTTCAGTCAGTGCATTTCAGGCATTTTTTTTTTTTCCCCCCTTACGTATATCAGATATTTATGCAGACTGCTTGTAAATTCAAGAGATGATGAACTCCCTATGTGTACCTGTTACTGAGCCAGGCCTGCTGCTTGCCCAAAGTCAGCAAGGGCTATTTTGGTGTAAGGATGGCATGGCGTTGCAAGTGACCACTGTACTGGATCGAGCAGTCCAGGAATCTAAATATAAATAATATGGAAGTTCTAAGTGCGTGTTGCAACATCTCTCTGTATATGTTTAACAGCAAGAGGTTTTTCCTAGCATTTGTTCCCTCTGGAAGGACAAAGAAGTACAAAGGAAAACTAATGGTTAAGAATGCAAACCTTTGCCTATCAGACAAACTCTAGCAGAGAACACCTTTTAAGCTATGGTAATACTAACGTGTGGTGGAATATCCTCCTTAGGAACTTTGTTAGCTCAAAGCTATGCAGAAATCTCACAGTAATTCTTGTGGCAACACTATCATAATACGGTGCCTGCCACAATCCTAGATCTGCAAGGCAGTGTAGCAAAGGTAATTCTTAATGCATTAAGTTCATAGGTTGTGAACATGGCACTAAGTGCTCAAAGTCTCCTTGGAAATGAGTGTTTGCTGGTAATGTTTTCTGGTATAGAAAAATCTCAGCAGGTGTTAGGTTTCATTCTACCAGGAAATGTTCGAGCACACCTTCCTGCATGGAAATGCAAGGAACACAAATAATTCTCCTGGGATGTGGATCAGCATAGAAGCTGTATTCTATTTTCAGAGCTCTATTGGAATGCTTCCAAGACCACCATGACAAAACTACTTCAGTATGGGTGGTAAACATGTCTCTACTGTTACTGCAAACTTTTCTGCACTGTTTGCTATGCATTCTTCAGCTACTGTTTCTTGAGTGGAAGGATTCTTTCTGCACTACCAACTCATCCTTGGACCCCTCACTGGATATACAAGTGGAAAAAGGCAAACAAATCATGTATTCTGTTAGGCAGGGACCATTCATAGAGTGGAACCTGCCGGTCATCAAAGTAAGAAATAATCTGATTGTTACATGGGAGCTGAACCACAGTATAATTCTTCACTAGTTTGAGCCCTGTCACTTTATCAAGCTGCTTCCAGTTACAAGGAAGGAAATGCTTGCAACTGCCATGGGTGAGACGGTCACTACTGGAAAGATGAGGGGCTGGAATTAGTATTATAAATGAAGAACTCATTAACTATTTAAAAATAATCAACTGAACATAAACTGCTTAAGGCTGCTTATGTTCTTATATAAGAAGACCATATATGACATGGCAGTATCTCTCTCCACCGTCTGCTTACAATACATTGAAAGTATATAGAGATACTAATCCCAAAGTTTGGGTACTTCTACCTAAATGGCACTTGGGAGTCCACAAAGAGGGGTTCTGTTTTTAACATTCTCTGATCAGTGCCTTTTTTCAATGTTGAGATGTATACAACTTCAGTCAAACCAATAAATTAAAAGCTACGTGTACTTTTTGTCTTCCGAAGTTAAAAGAGAGCCAGCAGCACTGACAGTAGTAATATGAAGTGTTGTATTAGCAGGACAGGTATCTGCATATCAAGCCTAAAACTTGCATATTACATCAAACTGAACATTAACAGGCTATGCAGCTGCTGTTTTCCATCTAGTTATAGTTCTTCCCTAATGCAGCCTTTAATAACATAGCATGGAGCGTTGTAGTTGCTAGCACTGATTTGATTAAGTCTTTCATAAGCATGCACATTATGCACAGATTAGTGTTCAGTATGCTGAAGCTTTTAAGGCATTTTAAACTGCAAAAAATGAAACTTCAGGGTATCTTTTTTCCCTGAATAGTACCTGCTGATGTCTTACCAACTATGCAAAAATTAAGGTGTAGTCAAGAGAAGAGCTCACCTTCTCAAAAGTTTACATTCATGAGCAACACTTAAAACTTATGCTCAGATAACAGCTCTGGAGTAAGCAGAATTCCTACACATTCAACAGTAATGTTGTAAATTCATCTCCTTTCTTGTCAGTGAAGTCTCATATCAAAAATCACAATTTACACTGGAATTTTTTTTACTTAACGCTAATTCCTGTTAAAACCTTTTTTAATACTTTTTTACTTCAATAGTATGAGCAGTGTTTTTCTGTCACATTCACTTGTTGTGTACAAAGTAACGTCAATTCACGGTAAGAGTTCCATAAAGTTCCTTTATTGAGTAAATCAAGTGTGTACACTTTGAAGAATAGACAATTTCCATTAGCATACTCTATGTTTATAATATCTAGGATTCTGTCTTGCCATAACTTTAAAAACTGGCTGCTGTAAGCATAAGCCATTAATCTTACAGGATGATCAGCAGTTAAGGGTCTCTGTAGCCCACAGCAGAGCACATCTGGATGAAGTCCTCCAGAACAATGGTGTTACTGCACTGTAATGACATGAAAAAGTTACCATCTACTTCTCAACATACAACTCCATAGCAGATATGCAGTCATTCACTTTGAAGACGTTCCTGTAGGACTGCAAGTATTCCATGACACAGCGTGATTTATTGGGAGAGCCTATCCTGCTTGCAGGAACCTACCAGCGTTCAGGTGAGTCCTAAGTTGATCCTTGGAAACTTCACAAAGCCAAAGGAAGGTGTGTTATAGCTGCCTGTTTGCAAGTACATAGCATGAGTACTTAACTGAATGTTCAGAAGTATGTAACACCTCCATCCTAATTGTAGGGAATTTGATCTTAGTCTTGGAATTTGTTTTCAGTATTTTCTTTGTAAGTTATCACAACACTGATGTCAACAAAATGACACGTGTGCCTTGAAATGCAGCATTTCACAATACTGAATTCCAGTTAATAGTACGCTCAAGTCTCTACAGATTGGCTGAGACACCAGCTTCATTAAACCTCAATATGCTTAGAAACAGCTTCATTTCTCTTCACATACCAAACCTGCAGAGGTTAGGATGGAGCCAAAATGGTGTTATAATAAAGCCCTACGAAAGGCAGCAGGTTGTACAGTTACCTCCTTGTGAGCAAAATCCCTGCCCTAGAACTATGCAACCTACTACCTCTTCCTAGGAGCCCAATGCTTCCTTTTTGCAGTTCTTGCTTAGCAGCTGCTCTGTGAAATCAGCTTAGCTTACCAGCTGCTTTTGGTCTCCTGCATTTTAGGCCAGGGCATGTACTACAAGTTTACAGTTAGCACTGTTTAACAAGTGGTTAACTAGTAACACTCCTGGCTTAAATACTCATTAATGGCTCCATTTTCACACTTACTATGCTGAACTTTCAGTCCCAAAAAGTGTTTTCATGTTTGGTGGTTGTTTTTTGTTTTTTTTTCTTCCTTGTTATAGGAAGATGTCAGCTGGTCACTCTAAGGCAGAAGCAGCTAGATGGGGTACACCTAAGGCTTATGGGGGAAAGAACACAATCTCTAAATGCCTTATAAAAACAGTAACCTCTTCAGACAGAAGTTACAATTTTGGATCTTGGTCACTCAAATTTCATAGCTTTACATTCTCCTAACCAGTTGAAGGGATGAATCCAGGCTGCCCAGAAAGGCTGTGGATGCAGGGGGGTTGGAGATTCATGGTCCTTGAGGTTCCTTCCAACCCTGGCTATGCTGTGAATTTTGGCCATTCAACACTTTAATCTTTGTATTACATTGTTTAAATCTCACTTGCTAGAAAAGCTAGAGAAAAATAAGCAGACATATTAATGAAGTATAACTGTAAATTTTCCAGCTTCTACTGAACAGTCACAGAATGTCAATGTATTACAGAAATTAAAACAGTTTATGTCACAATGTATGAGCTTGAGCCAAGACTTCTTTTAGATTCAAAACCAAATTGTTTTAGAATGATTTCCAGTCTATGGTGTATTCAGTTCTATATCTACTAAGAGATGCATTGTTGACGTCCAGACAGTGCTGCGCCACTCACCTTGGAAGAAAAGTCATATTAGTCAAATACCATTTGGGGTTTGCACCACTCAAACTGACTGTTAATTAGTGACAGAATTTACAGGATTAATTTGATTCTTTACAACCCTAAACTTCGACAAATCTGCTTTTAGTCAATGTGGAAATGCATGACAGCAAAGGACCGCAGTTTGTTTTACTCCTCAGGGAAGGCAATAGATTGTATAGTTATCTCCTGAACAGGGTAAAATAACTACCCTACAACTATACAATCTACTACCTCACTCTGATAGAGAAGCATGTACTTAAGCTCTTTGCTGAAGTAGCTAACCACAGTCTCATTCCAGAGTATTAATATTTGATGCTTGGGTTAGCAATGTTAACTTATTAGAACATCCACCATTTGTATTTGATTACTCCACCTTAAAGGAATCAATCTGTTCTTACATTTTATCCTTAGAGAAGATAAATTAATGTAGAGAATGAGAAAAATCTAGAAGTAATTACCTGTAGATGTTGCAGAAATATTTGTCTCCTACAATAAACACTCCAAGTGCAGAAGAAATTGAACAGTCTCCATTGTTGATTTTCTGCTGCTTTAGGAAAGACAGTAGATTGTATAGTTATCTCCCAGTTGTGGGTATGACCCTAAAACTATACAACCTACTACCTCATCCCACAGCGCAGGCATCTTCAGAGGTGATGTCCAAAGAATGGTGCTTTCATAAAGACAACTTAAGTGAACTGCAGACATTTACAGTGTACAATACTGGTCACCAGGGGGGAGGGAATTCCTCTCTCTCTCCAGTTGCGCAATAATGTTGCTGTAAAGGTAAGATTGCTTCATTTCAAAAGTTTACCAACTGTTTGGGTCTTAATGTATTTAATCTTTAGACAGCTAGCAAGCTGCAGCAGTCATAGAAACTGCAGTCATTACACTTGTCTGTTACAGGAAAAATACTATTAGTATTCCACAGATGTAATCTGTCATCTGAAATATAAGAAAATGTCTATGAGAAACATCATATGCAGATCTACATTCCTTCAGAAGTTAAAGTAACAAAATCTAGGACCATAACCATGCAGGTGATGTCCATGGATCAGTCTAAGACTCTAATATTTATAATTCTTAAGAAATCACTATTTTTATTCTGCTTATTCACAATTTAAAAAATATTATTTTTAATAAACTTATTAAGGTCTTATAACATGACATTAATTGTTGAACTGCCTTACCAAAAGGCCTCTTAAAATATACATTGCCTTTAGATCAGAAACAATTGGGCTCCTCTGACTGCTCCCGATAGAGCTTTAAAGCCAATTTCTACATTACCAGAGCTCAACATGACCTCAAGCTAAAAAGTCTTACAATATTGAAATCAAAATACTTGCCAGACTGATGTGACTTACAGTCCCCTTCTTAGCAAGGACATCTTGAGAACAGAGCTGAAGAGGAAAACTGATCATTTTATCAATGTAATTTCTAAGATAGCTGAAAGTGCTTACTGAAATGCACAGATTTTCAAACATTAAATACATGTTGTACTTCATCCCAATTCTGAGCTGAGGTTTTCAGACCAGTCATCAAACAAAGCCTTGATAGAACAAGAGCTCCTAATGCATGTTAATGTCCTTGCCAAAAAACACAACGCGTGATCCAATGCATTAATATACAAAGGGATGACGTTATTCCTTAAGCAGAGAAAAAAAAAAAGTACTTTCCAGCCCCCTCAGAGCTTTACTCCAGAATCCTTTGTACAAATATTGATGACAAATTTTGGTGAATCACACTTAAAGTCTTGCTTGTAACCAATTACAAATCAGAACACGTGCTTTAGCATGCGCAGATGGACACAAGCAGTTGGTCCTAATGTCCAAAACAGCAATAAATTACAACAGTAGCACTGTGACAAAGGCAAATGACCATGGAGCACAGGCACATATTGCATCCTTTGAATGAGCTTGGTTAGACATCCTCCTGTCGAGCAAATATTTGGAAAGGACGCTGACAGTCCTTTCACAGTTTCTTATTCCTACATGCAAACCTTCCCCAGCTGAGCAGAATTCATGCAAGGAGCCTGTTCCTACATAGACGAGGTGCTGCTGAGACCTCTGTCCAGTCAGCCTTGCTACAGAGGGTGCTGGTTTCCTGTTTTCAATCTGTCATTTAGTGAATCCATGATGTCCAAGACATTTCAATTCAGGTGGATCTTTAAGATGAAGTGCTGCTTCTCTCAGTGCTGAAAATGTTTTAAGCGCTTCGGAGAAACTAGACAGATACTACTATACAAAAAAAGGTATTTAAAGAATATAAAGCATATAAAATTTGTAGGATACTTGTCAGTTTCCTTTTTTAAAATGAACCCAGGATACTAAAATTACTGTACAGATTATAATCTGTAGCATTTCACCACCTATAGATGGAGTTAAAGCCTAAACAGCTTTTATTATTATTATTGCTATTGACAGTAGGACTTCTCAATTAAGTTCTGCTGTAAGAAATTCTGAACTATTTTCTAATGCTGCTGTGAGACTTTCCTGTTAGGTATGTGCAGCTCCTGAAGCATTTGTCTGCTTTGAGCTTCCAGAAACAAGATCCTTTCATCATTACAGGTCTGGAAAGGCAATCTATTACTTAAGGTCAAAAATGTCCTTGAAAAAATGTTTTGAATGACATCCAATTGTTATCTTGTGGTTATATGCAACAGTCTGGCTTGAGATCGATGGTGAAGTGCACACAGGGCACTAGGAAAACCTCATTCTGCAACAAATACACCTTATGAAAGATCATCATGTATTCTGCCTTTTAGCTAGAGGAGAAAAGCAGTTTTATTGATGGTACGCTACTCTGGTAGGTACTTACTGTCTTTTTTACTATTCTATTTAATAATAGAAAGGTATAGAATTAAAAGAATCAAAAATTCTAGTCCAAACTGTCCCTTGAAGATGTTGTGTGACATTCATGCAGTCTAACCCAGCAGTGTTGTGCTTCACACCACTTCTACAGTTAATGGTTATTTCTGTCAGCTCCTAAAACCCGTCTCACCTAAGCTGCATTGTCTTTTCAAGGAGTGAGATCTGCCAGGCTGCCCTGATGTTACACATTACACATTCCTGGCACAGGTGGGCAGAGAAGCTTGACGTACTGCATGCCTGATAAATTATACTCCTGGCACAGCCTCTACTGATTTGGTATCTTCTCAGCTTTGTGTGAATCTGCTATGGATACATCCTTGCACTGAAGTCACCATGCTGATGATATCATACCTGAGTACAGCAAACCTGTGCTGCCACCAGCACGCTCACTACTTTAGCAGTAAACATTCATGATTTTTGTATTTTAAGAAATACATGTTTGTTAACTTCATCAACTGCTGTGTTCAAAGTCGTGTTTTCCAGTCACCACGTGCTTGTATTTAAAAATATGCAAAGCATAAAAGTGAAGAAAACGGCACTGTAATTGTGCAGCAATTATGGAACATTAAATGAAGCTGACCAAGTTCACTACCAAAATTTCCTCCAATGATCTGCAGCCCAGGGCTGAGGGCCCAGCCTGTGCACAGTGCACAGCTTTAACCGCGTGGTAAAGCTCTAGCATTCGCATTACAAGCACTAACGCCAACGTCTGGTGCTTTTGCCCTGTAATTGCAGTAGCATCACCTGCACTGGAGCTGTGCTTTGACTCCCACTGACACTTTTGGTGAGGGAATTCCTGCCACCTTCTCCAGCCGCACGTGAAGACCCCACACATCGAGCTTCCACAGTGAGTACGTGCAGACTTGCAAACTTGCTTTTCTTTGGACTGGGGGGTGTTGGGGATTCGAGGCACAATAGTGTGATCAGGGCAAACTTAATTATCCTCCACATTGCTTCCCCTCAGCTGCCCTTTACTGCTGTCACACACTACATCCACATCTCATGGCTCCTTCCAAAAGAGCCCAAGATCACATAATTACTGAAACAAAAGCTATCTTTAGTGTGAGTTAAAAACCCATCTCTGTTCAGTTTTGGATTGTACTTTTTTCTTAATACTGTGCTTGTGTTGATGGAGCCTTACTCCTACTTAGCATCCTAGAGAAGTGACAGAGTAGAATCTAAAGAGGCACTAGCTTTCTGAAGAATGCTTCACTTGAGTTTCCTGAACTACCTGTATATATTTGAAACCTCTGGAACAGTTATAAGCTGTATAAGAAAAAAAGCCACTGGAATTTACATGTTCTCAGTAACACACAGTACAACAGCAGCACTCTTAATCAGTCTGTAACCTGTGGAACAGAAGGAAAAATAGCTCAAGCTATAGTTATAGTTTGTATCCCTTACAGCGTGGAAGGGATAAAATATGACTTATTATAATGAAAGTTCCATTTCATTTCAGTGTGACCCTAAAAGATGAATGCTTTATCCTCCCACTTGATTTTGTCAATTTTGCAGCACAGAATAAATAACCTGAAGCTGAAAGGATGTTTGTAGAGGCAACACTTCTTATCCTAACTGTGCTTTACTGACATCTGTTGTTATATGGATAAACAGATGCATCAATTTGAGGTATATAATGCTGTAGTACGTCCTTCTACAAAAAGACCATTTGTAAACAGCCTGTTACCAAAGACTATTTCACTCTAATGTTTAAATTCAACTTTTAAAAACTCAGTGGATAAAATAAAGTACAGCAGAAAAGATGAAGCTTTAAGTTTAAAACAAATAAACAAAACTCATGTATGACAGTTAGGACTTTCTTTTCTTTGCGCCAAGCAAATTCACCTACGGTGAAAATAGGCCCCATCCAAGAAAGCAAACATGCTTTCATGAGAATGCAGGATGTGGTGATGAAGGCCAGAAGCCTTTCCAAGAGTCATCTGCTTATGGCCAACACCTTAAAATTCAGTATTATAAGTATTTATTTGGTATGTATTTTATTTTTAGTATTTATTTGGACACGATAGTCAACTTAGCAGCAATACACTGGAGTAAGTGTAAATGTGCAGCCACACAAAGGACTGATATGCTTTAACTCCAAATATGAGCAGCACCAAAATCCATGCAGCTGGGCAGGGCTAAGTGTCCACTAAATTAATACCTTGGAGAGTCATCAATAATGTCTGTATCTCGTATCTCCACCAGAAATGCCAAACTTTGTCAAAAAATCTACATCCCACTGACAATTAATTGCTTTAATATAAAGCATCCTGGTTTTGAGTAATTATAACATGAAATATTACTGGTTTATTCCATTTGCAATTATTATGTTTGATTTTCATGTATTTTTCTGGCCATGTCGTTACAGAAGGAATATAAATATCCAGAAACACAGCTTGAAAGAAATTAGGAGTCACTACTGCCCACTCATGCATGGAATGAAGCACATCTCCTGCAGAAAAGTAAAGTATGTGATCATGATTAATAATTTTGAACGTGAACAAAGAATGACAGGAATGCAAATTCTAGCAACATCCTCTGCAGGTACTCGGTTTTTACGTTAGCATTAAACTATCTGCATCTAAGTGAGCATTAGTTCTTTAAAAAAAAAGCAAACTACACAAATGAATGCCACATATTCTACTGTAAGTTTAACCCTTTCCACGCTAGTCAAAACTAAGCCCTACTGATGCACTTCAGTTACTTATTGTTTAGAAATTGCCTCTTGTTATACCCATAAACCCGATGCTCTACTCCAATTAGATTCCTGGTATTGTTTTTTAAATTGGCTTGGTGTTTGATAGAAACAAAAAAAAAGACTGTGCTGAGTGTTAAAATCAGTGCGTAACTCTTAAAGAGCAGAAGCCAAGGTTTATTATTTACTACGGCACAACTACAAAAGAGCAAAGCATCTGTATAATTTCAGTTGACAATGCAGAATGGGAAAAAAAAGGTCTGTTGAGGCTTCTAAGCTTTTACAAATAGTCTGTGAGTATGTATGGCTGTGCACGCACAGGAAGACTCACGGGTCTGTGTAAAGATGTTGGGAGTGCACTGAAAATGCAATAAAAAACTGATGTGTAACGTGCAGTTTGAACTCATCTTTTGCAGATGTGAATGCAAGATCCTGTGACATGACAGAAAAATCAGGTTTTCGTATTTCCCATTCAGCATACACTAAGTATGCAGCATACAGTGGGGTACGGCCCTGGCAAGAGCCTCAGCAACATGAGGTAATGCAGTGCAGTAAGGGAAACAACTACACTGTGATATCTTATTTTCACAAATCCTTTTGAATACATTTGTCAATCAGTACACTGGCAGTAGAAACATGGATATGAGCATACTGCAGTTTAGCTATGGCTCCAAATGCCATATGGTTCTCAATAGAAACCATCACTTCAGTTGTTTGATCCTGCTTCAAACAGGAATGTGCGTTTTATTACCAATAAATGCATGTGTATTTATTCACTAGATCTGTCTCTTAGGACCTGCTACATTGGGAAGCAGGCAAAGCTTTTGTTCCAACAACCCCAGTCAGGTTTATCAGAATGCAGTTAACTAAGGGAAAAGTGGAAGAAATATAGGATTGTTTTTTAAAGACGAAAACTTACTGATACTTTATTGGCAACATTACCAAAACATTTATTAATGGTTGTTTTTCTCCATGGAATAGCAATTAAGAAAGCCCTTTTACCTGTTAACAGCATGTTACAGGCAGCTTGTTTTATATTAACATGCAATCTTTATGCAACTAATAATTACAATTCAGCTTACATTCACGTTAGTACACATAAGAACATTTCCGATAATGCTGTGTTATGTTATTGACAACATAATTTGACATCTTTTGCCTCTTCTACATCACGGGAGCCTTTTATCTGCAAATGAAAGGATGCTTCCACTGCCAACAGAGCAAAATACAGAAGGTGTTTATCAAAAGGAAAGTGAAAATAAGGATATGCTTGGTAGTAGTAATGGAATGATGCATCTGTTTCCTTCTGACAAGTCACTGGTCTTATGTAAAGTAACTTTCTAATACAACTATATGCATCGATTTTGCATTTCAAGATATTTGATTTATAAAAAATATCATCCCTAATACTGCTAATTAATAAGGTCATTTTCATGAAGATAGCTACTATGGGGCAAAAAAGAAAAAAAAAAAAAGTTATTAAGTCTCCTCTTAAAAGCTGATTACTGAATAAAGACTGCAGGGTTTGGAGCAGCAGCTGCAATGAGTCCAGGGAGCTGCAGCTGTCCCACAGTGGTGCCTCGTGGGCACGAGGCCCTGGGAGCTGCTCATCTCCAAGGAGTGGAGCTGCTCATCTACTTGAGAGAGCGGCAGAGACACCTTATTCATTAAACGTTGCTGACTAACAAAATGTTACTGATTCTGAAAGGACAAGCCCATTTTCCCAAGTCCGGATACATGTTGGCTTTGACCCTACATTGCCAGACGCCATTCTGCAGGGTCACTCATGTTTTGCACTCATGTTCTGCAGGGTCAATCTATGTTTTAAGCGAGGCAGTTTCCCCTGCTGCTGCTTTTGTTAGCCAGGAAGCTGCTCGCACTAACAGCGTGTTTAAAGAGAAGCACAAAAGATATGCAGAAGGCAGATCTATCAACGAGGCTTAACAAACCTCCCGCGTCGGGCTGAGTCCCCACTCCCACCCCAGAAATAAGGCCCGGGGAGCCGTGCAGGGTGCCGCGTTTCTCCCCGCCCCGCGGTGCGGTTAGGCTACAGCAGCCTGCTACCAGCGCGGAGCCGGCCGCCGCTCCGCCCCGACCCGACCGAAGGGTTCCGCTGCCATGTGGCCGCTGTACGGCGTCCCTTCCCTCAGCTTGAGGCACGCTGCCCGCGGCGCACTGCGGCCCTCAGCCGCCTCCCCTTGGCGCGCCGGGCCCCGACCGCCCGCTCCCCGCACGGCCCGGGCCCCCCCGAGGCCAAGGTCTCCGCGGCCCACACACTTGCTAGCGGAAGTGACGTACCCGGCGCTGACGGCATCCGTAGCCTATCCCCGGCGGGCGGCGCGGCAGGGCCGCCAATCAGGAGCGCCCGGGGGCGGCACTTCCGGGCCTTCAAGTTAGTCTGAGGAGAGAGAGGGGGGAGGGAAAAGGGGGAATAAAAACGCCTCCATTACGGTAAATAAACCGCCCGCGGCCCGACGATACGAGGGCCCCGCGCGGCGGCTGCGACCGCACAGCGCTTCCTGCCGCGCCCCTCCCGTAACCCGCACCCCTGGGCAGCACCCGCTCTCGGGGCCGCGCGCCGAGCAGAGGGGTCGGGCCGGGCCCACAACGGGACGAGGTGCAGTTCCCTCCTTCTCTTCCTCCTCCCGCCGCGCCCGAGCCCGGGCGGCCCGCAGCTCACCACGCGGAGCCGGGGCCGCGCCCGTTACCTGCCGCAGGGTGACCCGCAGCCGCGCCGAGACCCGGATGGAATCGCGGCCGCTCCTGCCGCCGCTCGCCGCGCGGCACCACGGGAAAGCGCGACGCGCCCCGCGCCGTCCGCCCCATTGGCCGAAGGATGACGGGCACCGCCCACGGACGAATCCGGGTAGGAGGGGCTATTCGTCCATCCTCTCCTCTCTCGCGCTCTCATTAGGCTTGGGGCCGCGCGGCACCGCCTCCACCTGGAATGGTCTTTTTTCATTGGGTGGCGGGAAAAAGAGACACGCCTCCCTCCGCCATTTATTGGAGGCGGCAGGGGGCACTCCTAAAATGGCGCCCCCCGGCGGCGCGGTAGGGGCTTGCGGTGCGGGTGGGACCGCGTCGTGTCCTGTTCCAGAGCCCTGCGGGTGCCCCTGCGGATGCCTCAACCTCACCCAACGAGTCTCTTTCCATGTGCCCAGGGCTGGCCGAGGCCTTCTCGGCAGCGCACGTGCTGCTGCTGGCAGGGGTGGGGCCGGGCCCGGTGTCGGCTGCGTGCTGAGCTCCGTGAGGGCAGTCAGCGGCTGGAGCGCTTCTTGCTGGTGCCCCGCCGCTTACAGGCACTGCATCCCAGCTGCATCCAGCCGTGGCCGCTTGTTTCATCATTCGCTGTTCGGCCGGTTGGCACAAGATGATTACGTTGAGAACTGACACCAGTGGTTTTGAAGAAGTCTGGAGCTTTGGGATAAGCCGATGTGAATCAGGGTTGTCTCAGCTAGTCCACTTTTCAAGCAGTGCACACCGGGCCAACCCGGCTGTCACCTCTGTAACTGTGCTGTTCCAAACATCTTTGCTGCTGTGTTCCTGATGAGTTTCTGCATGATTTGGGGGTATGCAGCACCTGTAGGGCACAGCAACTTCCAGAGGAGGTGGTCCTGCAGCTTGTGTGTCTTCAATGCTGTTTTTGTGGGTTGGTAAAAGCTCCCAGAGCTAAATGCTGAGTTTAAGATCCTTCATACACAGAACTTCTTTCCTATGTCTCTTGATATTGACCAATAGAGTATGTTTTATCTGAGTGATTGTTCAGGCTGGAAAAGAGTAGGCTTAGGGAGACCTCTCTGCAACTCTGATGTGGTTGTGGTGAGGTGGGGGTTGGCCTCTTCTCCCAGGTAACAGCAACAGGATGAGAGGGAGCGGCCTCAGGCTGTGCTGGGTGTTAGGAAGAATTTCTCAGAAAGTGTGGTAAAGCTTTGGAATGAGCTGCTTGGGGAGGTGGTGGAGTCACTGTCCTTGGAGGTTCTCAAGAAGATGCAGATGCGGCACTGAAGGACGCAGTCAGTAGGCATGGTGGGCTTAGGCTGCCAGTTGCACTAGATGATCTTAGTGGTCTTTTCCAATCTCAACAACTCTATGGTAGCATACCTTAAAAAGTGCACGCATAAAGAAGCCTTCAATCTTTGCTAACAGGCCTTTCTATTCTTTTGAGAAATGTTATAAATCACGAAGCTTTTGTGATTTCTAGACAATTGTGAGAGTTTAGAATATATGTATATGGTGAGGTCCTTATGCATGTGGTGTCCCATCCTGCTTCACCAATAATTACTTTCATCACGAATGGGAGAACGGGACATGGGGCCTTGTTTTCAGTGACTATAGTGGCGAATGGTTGACTGGGAGCCAGCTGGTTGGTCTGCAGAACAAACAAAGGAGTGATGCCTCCAAAGCCAAAAGTTAAACCCAAATGCGGTTTTCATCCTTGTTCGGGTAAAACTTTGTTGCATAAATTTTGCCAGCTGTTAACTTTTTAATTTTCATATTCAGGTGTAATCTGATTCATTCTCTGATGAATACAGAAGTAGCTGCACTTGGCTGGGTGAGAAACTTCTCTCTGGTCTCGGCCAGGCATCTTTCATAGCTCCTGCATTTCCACTGCCGGTCACAAGATGGGGTCAGAACACCCAGGAACGACGCTTGTTGCTCTCAAGCGCGCCGCAGTGACCAGCTGTCTCAGCACTAAGTTTGTCTGGGCTCTGAGATAGTTCTTGACTCACAGACAACAATCACTAGAAGTAGCCGTGATGGGATTTTGTATGTAAATTCAAATACACATTTCCATTAATTTCTGGTGTCTATAGTGAGAATTGCTGGAGCGAGCTAAGAAGGTCCATTCCAGCTGTTGGATAAACAAGAAGAGACTCGGAAGCATTTTTCAAAAATGAAGCATTCTACAGATGACACATTTATTTCCAGAGCAGGAAATAATGAGTGGGGATATTCTCCCAGGCCTGCTGCATGGCCTGAGGCTTGCTGATTCATGGGTGGCCATTGTTCGTTACACCCATAATTGGAAAGGCACGTTGTTTTTGGCTTAGGAAAGAGAACAATGTAACAATGCGTAACAATGACATTTAAGACAAAATGCCAGTTCATACAACTTTGCAAATTATATAAAATTAGAAGACAGCTAGAATAGTAAAGGTGAAGAAAGTGTCAGAAGACATGGTAGTGTTGGAGCATGGAGACACTCAGCCTGTTGTATGTGGCACAGACACGCAGCAGTGGAACTAGTGGAACCTGTTTTCTGTTTCTTTCTGGATTTCTTCTAATGCAGAAGCAGCAACTGAACTTATTCTTAGTTGGACCCAGTCTCCTCAGTTATCAGCAACACCTGTATTCACATGGGGAGGTTTGGCACTGAGTAGGCACAAACTAGCCCAGAGTTGAGCTGGGAAGGAAATCCTTCTATGTGTAGAACGTAATACCCGTGGTTCTATGGGCTTCTTCTCAGATAGCACCAGTAATATTGTTGTGTCCTGTGTTTATTAGGTTTCCAAAAAAGTAGTTCTGATGCTACCAGGAGAGCCAAGGGAAAGCCAGTCCGTTAACTTTTAATTAGTACCTGTACCTGTAAGTTCAAAAGATGCATTCATATGAGTGTGTTGCCAACTGTTCTTTGCCAGTGGACAAAGATTATTAAGCAGATTACAAAAACCATGGTGTTGTACCCTAATTTTAAAACATATTTACATTACCTTGTAATTCTCTTACGGAAGTTATTAGCTCACCTTAGTAGGTAGGCTTATAAGGAATTGTGTTTGTTGGTGGTTTAAAGCTCAAATGTAAAGCTTGGGATGTGAATTACGCTTCTAATAGAGAGTAAACCTGACATGCTTGCAGCTCAGTGTCAGAGGAAGGGAGATGGAGTCACAATGCACACCTATCCCTGCCGTCCCTAACTGCATGCTGTGCCAGCAGCCTGTGGTGCCAGCTCAGACACCCTAAAAGCTACATTTTCATTGTTAACACTTGCTTTAGTGCTGCAGTGTGGATGAGGCTGTTTTCGGAATTGTTGTATGTCTGTGGGCTTTGGCAGCACCTCCTGGCAAGCAGTGCACAGAGACTCTCACATTAATGCTTTCAAAGTACTGTTTAAATTAAATGTACTTTCATGGGTCTCGATGTGAAGCCTTTTCTTAGAGCGTTTTTAATTCTTTTTCCTTGACTTTTTTGTCCTCCTGTAGAAGTTACACAGGATGTACATGCTGTTCTTGGAGGGTTTCCATTTGATGGGAAGTCTGCTCACACGCTTCAGCTTTGTTTGGCACTTCTTGCACTTTTTCCAGTTTGGTAGAAAAGTCATTGTGTAACTTTGAGAGCATTTCAGCTGTTCAGTGCAGAATGCCCATCAGCAAACTAACTCCAACCACGTCAATTATTACCAGAATGTCTGCAACACCAGCTGCTACTTTTTTAAACAGCTTTTCCCTTTCCTGTGTGAAATAAATTGACTGAACACGTAACTTTATATCATCAACATATCTTTCAGTACTGTTCGGAATAGTTCCATGCCAAATGAAAAATATAAATAATTGTGCCCGCCAACACTGCCCCAAGCTGCTGGAGCTCAAGGAGTGTTTGGAGAATGCCTTCAGACATAGGGTTTGGTTTTTGGTCATTCTGTTTGGAGCCAGGAGCTGGGCATGATGGTCCCTGCTAACTTGGGGTGTTCTGTGATTCTTTGTTTTTCTCTCAAGCAGTAGGCTACCTATGTTCGACCCTAGGAACTATTCAAACTCAAGGTACCTATGGATGAAGTTTTTTTTATCAAGCCAGTGATTCCTTTGCTCCTCAAATAAGCGACCTTTAAGTGAGGGGGAAAAAAACTAATATAATTTGAAGATTACAGGAACAATTTATTTTTGTGATAATTCAGTCTTATGTGGAAAAATGCATAATTTGTGCTTATTTACACTAAAGAGTTTTGAACCATAGTGAAATAGTGCAGAAATATCTAGGCAGCCATTTCATTCAACTATGTATTTGTGACTTTGAGGCTCATGACCATCGGCTGCCCATACTTTGTGTTTGGGTATAAAGAGTTTATCCTAAATCAACAAGACTTGCATTGTTTATTTGGGAATACAGAATTCAGTAAATCAAGCAGAGACAATTGTAATTTCTGTTAACAGGTAAAAATGGTATCATTTTTTAACTTTCATATTCAGAGGCAAGTCCTAAGAGCACTGTGAGAGTCCAGTTCCAAACATTTTACTCTCTGAAGTCACAGTTTACTTGCATACTAGACAGGGAACATAGACATTTTCAGTTCATTCATATTCGGGGAATACAGACATTATCAGAACTTAACTTTTGTCTCCATAAGGAGCGTGAGTGGGTTTTAAACCAACGTGTGTTGATGGCAGCAGAATTATCCATAAGGAAGCCTTTTGTGGGGGACCTTGCACTTACAGAAGTCTCTAAGACATGAATATTAAAATAATTGTGTGCGTTCCAGTTATTTTCTGTTCTCAGTGTGTCTTCTCCATGCATTGCTTGCCAAGGTTGAGCATGACCAGGACAGGAGGGGTGAACAGCACCAGGCATATGGGGCCCAACAGCATCTCTCTAAAGGCCTCCATGCTGGTGTCTGACTGCATCAGGCAGCCCCTCTCTGCTGGCAGCCTGGCACTCTTGAACCAGCTCATATCTCTGTAGTAACAGCTCCATGGCAGCAGCTGCTCCCTCTGACGGCTTAATTGGGTCTTCTGCATCTCTCATCTCAGCAGGCCCTGTGCAAATCGCTGTATTTCACCAGAATGTTCCCTTTTGTTGGAACACCTTGGGCTTCACTTAGGTACTTCCTTGGGTGTTTAACACTCAGATGTTGAAGTTGCTCAGCATCTGTAGCTCTGATTAGAAGAGTTTTACATCTCAATGCAAGACAAATTCCTTGAGGTGGTAAATTATTTTATTATTTTATTACCTGCTTTTTTTTTTTTTTTTTTTTCAGAATCATCTTTTGCTTTTGTTCAGTCATTTGAATTCACATTATCATTGCCTTGTGCGGAAAGCTTCTCCAGAAAGTCAGCCCCCACCTTGCTAGCAGTGTTTCTTACATTATCACTAACTGCTTTAAAACATTTTTTTTAGGGAACAGGATCACTCATGACATTGAATGTAAAAATGGCATCTGTCTGAAGAACATTCCAGTAACAAGTTTCTGGGGACCTATTGCCAGATACTGAAATATATGAAAGGTTTCTGTGTTCAGTGCAAGCAGCAGGCCTCATCCCCGTAGTTCAGGAGAGCTACTTTTCCCCAGTCTTTCTGGTTCAAGACCTTTCCCAAAGAAAGTGAAAGGAATACGTGGTGAGGCACTACTCCAGCCACTGAAGACAAAATGCCTGCTTGAGTGTTCAGTCTGATTGCAGGCTAATCAGGATTGTCTAGTCACTGGAAAATGTAGAAGACAATTTGTAATCCCCATTTCCCAACAGCAGCCTGGTGCTGCTCTCATCTTGAGTCCTCCTTTTTCCATAATCTGTGTCCCACAGCTCACATCAGGTGGTGCAGACTGGCAGCAGGTGCTCTGAGATGTGCTCTGGAACAGACAGGATGTGCAGGTGTAAGAATAGGCATGTGAGGGGAAGTATCAATGGAGGTGCGTGGAAACCTTGTGTGGGAAGCACAGTGTTATTTTCAACACTTACAGCGCTCGGTCACAGTGCCAATACTGAATGCTTTTTTTTTTTTTTCTTTAAGTTATTGTGAAGGATATTTTCTTTAAATTTTTCTGTGCTCTAAATAAGTATCTTGACATAAAGTTTGTTTTCTGTTGGTAGAGCCCTTTGTTTGGTGTCAAGTGGGGCTGCAATGCAACCAGGATTCAAGGAAGAATTCTGTCTGCTTAGGCCATGGGGACAGGATCCAGGCTCCATCCTCACTGTGGCTGTGATGGTTATGCAGGCATTTTATGCTAACTGGCCTCAGCTTATTCTTGAGAGTAAATGTGGCAACATTACAAAAAGCTATGTGACGCTGATCAAAACATGCCCTATCAAATATTTGTTAATCTGCTACTCTGTCATATGTTGTAACTCCAAAACAAATCGGCTGCACAGTCCTCTGTGGAAAACAGATGTGCAAAGTGGGCAGGGAGCGCCACTGTACCTCTGACACCGTGTCACTGAAATGAAGGGAGTTCTTCATTTTAACCTCTACTACTTGTTTCTATAGTGAGACTGTGCTATGCACTATGTTCCTGAAGGAGCTGCTGTCTGTCATTGCCCATTGCTTTTCTTCTGCTCTGCATTCTGCTGCAGGAGAGCGAGAAGCTGGAACAGCAATAAATCTAAATTTATTCTTTGTTGATGGGCTTTTATTGATCTTCCAGCAACCCTAAAGCCAAAGAATGAAGTGAATATTGCACCCTGAAGACACTGGTGATCAGAGAATTAAGATCACTTTCCCTTCTCAAAATGCTTTGTAAAGTAGCTAGATGTGTGTGTGAATTATTTACACTTCAAAATACATAGAATCCTGTAGGAGAAGTCTTTATTAGCAGCTGTGCACAATTGATATGCTGACAGATCCAGACCTAGAATAAGTAGATTTTTATCCAAGAGCCACAGGAAAATCTCAATTCATTGTTTCAGTGCAGGTGGAGAAAGAAGTACTGAAGTGTTTGACTCAGAGCATGCTGTTCTCAGCAGACAACTGGAGCCAAGGAAAAGAAGCGGCAAGAGGTACTTGTTTACTAGGTGAAGGTTCTTTTTCATCTGTGAGTCAAAATGAAGGGAAGATCCTACTATTTTTCAGACTATTGGTTGTTTTGACCAAGATGTAGTATAAATTTCACAAATATTTTTTTTCTTTTAAATATTTCCATCTTATTTAAAAAAAAAAAAAAAAAAGTTACATCTCTGTATGGAAACCCATAGGTAAAAGCAAATGACTGTGTTTGCTGATGGATGGGGAGTGAGAAGAGCGCATGGGGCATTATTTGCATGTTTTTCTATTCAGGACTCCTCTGGCGACATTTTGTTAGTCACTGTAACTTGCTACAAGTTAGGAGAGAGCTGGCTGGTGGACTTGAAGCGGGAGAAGATCAAGAGGAAGGGTCCTGATGTTATGGAGATAGGCAGTGCTGCACCAGTGGAGGGATTTCTCCTGGCATTTGTTGGCTGACAAGCCTTACTGAGTCTTGTCAGAAGTGCAGAACCCCAACTGTTTTATGCAGTCTCTTGCAGTAGCTATTGCAGAGAGTATCACTGCTGCTGCTGATACTGAGGTAACCTCTTGGTCAGGAAATGGGGTCCTCCTATCCCATCCTGCCACTAGCTCATGACTGTTTTGCTGCAGGGTGTTTAGGTAACAGATTGTCAGCATACCCCTGCAGTGCTCCTGGTAAGCATGAAGAGAAATCTGCCCACACGTAGCCCACAGCTGCAAGGCTGTCACACAAATTTGAGTCAGGTTAAGAACACGAGAAGATGATGTGGAAAATAAATACATCACTCAGGTAAGAAATGACTTAATAGGATGCTGCTGAAGTCTGTGGGCTTGATTATTCATTTAGATGGGCTATTCTTGGTTTCTTTTCCCCATGATGGATTCAGTCAGGTGTGGTTCATTTGCTGGTAATTGCAACCACATTTGTCATTGAAACAAACAAACAACAACAACAAAAAAAATAGTACATAAAAAAGCACCCAGTTCTACAATATCCATCTGCATGGACAGCCTGTAAGTAATTTTTCAAGTGCAAACACCTGCCATTATCTCGCAACAGATTATTCTAGCTAGGTTTAATGACATATAGTCCTTGTTAATTACCCCAATTTAAACAATTCCATACTGGTCTCCACACTGTGTATCATGCCAGGAATTGGTGTTGCCTATTTGGAACTGCTCAGCTTTCATAAGCAGAAGTAATTCCCTGGGAAATTACGACACCTGCAAATGTATCTTAGTATTCCAAAATGGCACTGCTAAGCATGCTGGCTAAAGCTAAGCTGCATACCATGTCCCACTCCTACAAAGTTGCTTTCATGCATGTGATTTCATATCTGGTGTTTTACCTTCAAGCGTGCTAACTTCAGGAAGTTCTACCAAAGAACTTTATCTGAATTTGATATATAGTCATTTGAAAATTAAAGTATTTGTAATTTATACACATATGAAACTGGTCTACTTTTAACTCCAAATAGTCATTTGCAGTGCCAAATAAAAATATTTTTGAAATGCCAAATTCTTGTCTAGCTACATATATATCAAAATGGGTGAACTGTTAATCTGGCATCCTGATAATCCAGCCTGAGTCCTAAGGCTGTGATCAAAAACTGCAGATATGATGATATCCCAGTTGTTTTCTGTCTTATTAGATGAAAACAGCTCTATAAAGTGCATTGGAGATCATAAGATCTTCACTGATTATTTTTGAGTGTTATTTTACGACACTTATTTGTATAAATTTTTGCTGAACATAAATATGGCCAGAAGTCTGATGATTAAATATTTTTTTTTCACTTAAAATCTATGAAAGTTTAATTAAAAATAATTTATTCAAAGCATTTAAGAAGAAAAAACTCATTTTCCACTAAGGAAAAAATTAGAAGCCCTTTTTTTTGACAGAAGTTTCTAAATTAAGACCTTTGTAACTTAAAGAATTTAATGTATTTCTCTAGTGGAGCACCTTTGAGGAATGCACTGGTGGCAATTATTTCATCTGCTGTTAACAGCAGACCTCAAAATCTGTTAATTATTTCTCTTTCTTTAAATTTTCTAAAAGGAGAGTTATTTCAGTCAGTATTTATTGTCCTCAAAGAAAAATCAAGTAACATTAATGTAAACATACTGAATACACAAACTTTAACTCAGTCCATTCAAACCTTTTGTACCATGGCACTGGACTTATGGCAACTGTGTAACTTGTACAAAGCATAGCTTGCCCATTACAGAGGTATCTAAATAATAAATACAGCTCAAAACAAGTGAACATTTTGTGAAATAAAATAGTACTGGAAATCAAAAAGCTGCAGTACAGTCAAACAGGAGCTGTTCCTTAGAACCATGAAGATAGAACAGTTCACAATGAAACTCCCTCTAAAAAAATAAAATGTTTTGTTAAGAATGGCTGCCACCTAACATTAGGTAAATCATGCAAAATAGCACAAATTATAGTAGCTGGAAAATGCAAAATAATTTGGTAGTCATCTAATCCTTCAGCATCACCGTGCAGAAATCAAGAGGGATTCTCTGTTCCTTCCTTCAGCTTTTTTCTTTTTTCTTCCAGTGTTTGCTTAAATACTTTTTTCAGGGTATTGTAGATGTACGGCCCATCTTCAGAATCAAAGCTTGTCTAATAAAAGGCAGAAATTGAAATGCAGTTGTTAAATAGGCGTCACATGGCAAAATGCAGAGATGAGCAACATTTAAAAAAATAAAGCAGTTTTCAGGTTTATTTAAAAAAAAACCAAAAAACAAATACAAACACGGAGTGCTTTCATTATGGAGTACTTAATGGTAAACAGTTTTGCCTAAACATTAAAACAATGAAGAAATGCTGTGATTATTTTAACAGCTGGCATGTCTGTAGATTTACAAGAGATTAGGAAGCAAAAGGATGAACTTTCTTTTTAAATACTTCCACCTGCTGAACTACAATGTAATTTAGAAAGCAATTTAATCTGATGGGAAGAGTCCAAGTAATACAGTCCACCAAAGCCTTTGGTAGGCTACTCTCAGAGCCTTTTTATTCCCATCACTTAAAAATCATCTTTTCCCTAATATGAAGAAGTCCATGAATTGGAAGTGATCCAGAGACAGAAAAAGGAGACGAAAGGACTATGGCTCCAGTGACAGAATGGGGTTTTGTTGAGAATATTCCCTATCTTTTATGTAGGATGGTAACCACAAATTCTGAATGGAGACAGCACGAGTACACCAAGTGTGAAGGGACTGCTGTCACTTTTACTGCTCTGCTGGTTCATGATTTAAACAAACAAATGCCATGCCTTGGACAGTTACTTGCCTTAGTGAAAGCTTTAACAGCACGAACAAGTAAGGCCTCCTCCACATCAGCTGGTAGCGTTTGCAAGTTCACCACACAGTGTAAAATACAAAGGATAGTCTGACACTGCTCCTGGTGGATAAAAGGAACAGCAGCTCATTAGAAGAAATCTTTTCATGAAAAACAATTAACTTTCCATTTTTGTTTATTGCTGTTTAAATACCAGACTGTGCCCTCCTGTATTGAAACCTTCAGGTGTAGGAGGTGAGGAGGGAATTTTCACAAGCCTAAAGAGCTTTTCTATATAATTGTGACAGTCACAATGGAAGAAAATCTTCTCTAGTGTGTCTCATACTGCTCTGGAAATTTCTGGGTGATCAGGCATATCCCCATTTTGATTTTTAAAAGAGATTGAAGGTGCCTTTTGAATGTTTAATTACCATGTTTAAAGGTCACAAATGAATAGAGTAACAAAACATGCTCAAACAATGCATTGACATATAAAACATCTACCTTTTTCAGAAAGTTAAGTGCATCTTGTGATTCTATGGAATTTTTTGCCAACATGTCAATATCATCTTTGGATATAATAGGCTCTTTCAGTTGCTCTATCCAGGACCACATCAAGCTACAGAGGATGAAAGGATCTCTCTCAGTAGAGATTTTATCCCAAGCTCCATCTCGAGAATTCAGTTCTTTCTTTAAAAAAAAAAAAAGAGAGGAAAGAAAAAAGAAAAAAGAAACTACAAATGCATCATCTGTTTACTTTTGCTAATATTCCTTTCAACTGCAACAGTATTAGGCTGCTTACATTCCAATATGAAAAGAAGACTTAATGGTTACAAAAAAGGAACTTTTTTCCATGATGTCAATGTTAATCAGCAGTAATGCAAATGATTCTTTAAAACAGAAAGATGATGTAAATAGTGCAGCTCAGAATCTCCCTGTTATCTCTCAGAATATATAACACAGCATTGGATTCCTACTTCCTGCTGGGAGTATTTGGTTTTGAGAATAGCAGTTAAGTTTCTACTGAATTATAGGCAGAATCCTCTGATTAGTTCAGAGGAAGCACAGATTAAAAACAACATAACTCTAACTTAAAATCAGTAGCACTTTTATGCTATAGGAGCTAAGTTAAACCAGAGGTAACAGCACCAGTTTTCATTAGTTAGTGAAATGGATGAACACAATCTGAAAAAATGTTCTAACTTCCTGTTGGGTACTGAAATTTGTAGGTTCATTTCACATATTACTGACAGATTTGACTCCTAACTGACAAATACAATTATTTTCTTAACCAGAGCATAAATCTGTGTCCCAGTGTGCCATTTCAAAGCACATGGTGGCATTTTTGCCATTTAAGAATTAAATGCAGTGGAATATTCAGAATACATAACACTGAATGAAATTAAAAATTACCTGCCACATTTCTACCTTCTGCTTCACTTCATCCTCTTCCAGAAATTCATTTATATTTGCAAGTGCTTTTGCTGCCAAAATTCTTCGAGCTTCCAAACTTAATTCTGACTGCAGAACAATGTGTGGAATTGCCTCTGACGGATCTTTGCTACCTTGGCTTTCACATCCAATGGAAAAGTTCACTTTAGAAGAAGAAGAAGAATCAGAATCCTCTGAGACATAGACTCTTCTGCTGTACATACGAGTCTCACATTCTTTTCTATGGCCAACCTCATTGGTGAAATTATGCCTTGGTGTTCCAGGCTCCCTGGTATAGTGGAGAGATGCTAGACCTGAAGAAAAAGTTCTGCTGCGTTGTACTTCTTTGGTAGAGTTCCTTCTCTGATAAAGTGAAGATCCATCTTTTTGCCCATCCAAATTAAACTTAGTCTGACTCCAAATTGTACACGTGTTACGCACTAATGCTTCTTTGTTCAAATCCAGCTGTGGCTTTTGTTCGTCTGTGGCAGAACTCTCCTCACCACTGTTCTGCTTAAGTTTGTTGCACAGTAATATCTGAGCAGGTACCGTCCATGCCGTTTCTCCTTGCTCTAAGAGGAACTCAGTTCTCCTTAGGTCTGAATCACTGTAGCTTAGACGCCTCCTCACATGAGACAGAGGCTGAAGGCATTCGACGTTCCTCCTTTTCCAAAGAGGATCACATTCATGTGCAAGGGAGAAAAGAGAATCCTGTGTGTCACAAGTGGCCGAGTGGGTGTGCGAGGAGTCCGACATGTCACTGTCCTGCCTGGCAAGGTCTCCATCCAGCTGTGTCGACACCAGCTGGGAGACAGTCTTTTCAATTTCAGCTGAGAGATCTGCTATGTTTAAGAGCTCTGCCTCTACCACTTGTCTGTTTTCAGCCAGGTCTAGCAGCAGCTTGCACACTAGGTGAATGAGTTTTGGCACGTGTTTGAGGTGCCTGCTCTCATAACCATGGAGCAGGTGTCTCTGGCGGGTCAGGTACTGGGACAGCGTCACCCTGTGTGCCTTGGGCTCACAGCAAGCAAATACATTTCTGAGAGGAATCAAAAACTGAGTGAATTCTCTGATGCACAGTAACTGCCCTCTAGTCTGAATAGAATTAGGCCTTTTTGCTCTGACAAAAAGAATGGCTTGATCAGCAGTCATTCTTGTTGCAAAAACTAAGTAGCAAGCTACTAGAACACCTGGAACACAGAAACACAAGCATTGGTTCAAGAATTTTCAAACAAAAACAATTATTCAGAAGAACTATGGGATGAAAATGAATATAGGTGAAGACACAAGCATTGTGCCCACTAGTATATGATGCTGTGGGGTTAGTTGCTTTTGTTGGACCACAAGACAGTAAATCCATTCTCACTATGCTTTCAGTGAGAGCAGTAGAGGCTTCTAAGGGAAAAACTTAGGCAAATAGGTCTTGAAAAAGCAAAGAGTAAATGAAATTTTGGGTGACTTTTTTTCCCACCAAAAGGAAACTGTCCCATTGAATGCAGCAGGGAATTACTGCACTGAAATTAAAAAAAAAAAATCTAACCTTGCAGGTTGCTGTTTTTACATACTAAAACTGATCTCTTCCAGCTACTGACAGATCGTTTTCACAGATATGTTTAATATTTTAATTACTTTATGGATCTTGTAAAGATCTATAAAGAGCTGTAAAGACTTTAGAGATCTTGCAGTGAATTTAAATTATTAATAATTTATGAACAGAGGGTGCTTTGCATCTTCAGAAAGGCAGTTCTGGTGTCGTGCAGCAGAACAACATACCTGTCCGTCCAAGTCCCGCATGACAGTGAACAGCCACTCTGCCTTCCTGCAGCGCAAAAGCCATGACTTTTACCATATCAAGTATAGTAGTAAGAGATGCCACTCCATAATCCTTCCATCCAAAATTATAAAAGTAAACTAAAACAAAAAGAGAATGAGTTATTTGCTTTACTGAAAGTTAAGTTTTCGGTACTATATGCAGAGGAGAGATGACTAATAGTAAATTATAGTAAAAAAATTGTATAAAGATTCTTGGGGGAATCTGACTACATACTGCTTACAAGAGATTATTTTCCTATTTCAGAGTACTCTTGCTATTGCAATTTGATAAATGCATGAAGCTAGCACTGGACTGTCAAACTCCAGTTCAGCTGCAATGCAAAAAATTTAACAAAACTGAATGATTCATACAAAAATTACTGAGCTATCTAGAAGTAAAGCATCATTTTTCCCTTTTAGAAATTAAAGCACTGCTTCAGTCAAAAGCTTTTTTCTTATACAGAGGCGCATTTACGCATGTCATCACATGAAAACACAAAAAATCCTGTCATTACAAATGGCTAGATATTTGGGAACTGAGAAGAAAGTTAACCAGCTGTTGTCCCTTCTTTCTTCTAAGTGGATAATGTGTTATTCACCATGGATTATATTTGCCCAGCTTTATCATAGAATGATCTGGGTTGAAAAGGACCTCAATGATCATCTAGTTTCAACCCCTCTGCCATGGGCAGGTTCGCCAACCACCAGACCAGGCTGCCCAGAGCCACATCCAGCCTGGCTTTGATTCTTACACCCTAACTCGTGCAACATTTCTTACATAGCTATTTAAGACATGCAAATTCAAGTAAAAATATCTGGAGCTGAAATGAATAATGAATGAGGCCCAGCAGCAGGAGTGCACGTACTGCCAGCCTCCATGAACGCCTCAGGAAGGTAGGTGAAGCCACTTTCTTGCTCCAGCGGATTCCCACAGCTCGCGTGCTCCCCAGGACGCTGCAGGTTAATTATGGTTTTTATGCCACATCTAAGGAAGGAAGAGATGAAATACGTGTTTATTCCTAGTGGAGAATATGGACCTTTACCAAAATCCAAATATAGGCTGAAAGAGAAAACAGACTGGAAATTCTATTAGTAATATGTACAATAAATAATGGGTAAATTTTCTTACCTTTCAAACTGTTCAATGATGTTGTACTTTTCAATTAATTCTGTTGAGGGTCGAGCCATAGCCAGTATGTTATCTGTTATCCTGAGGAATTAAAAAATAATATTTACTATTTTTACATTAATAAGGAGAGTAATTATGTTAATTTCTGGGAATTAATTTGCCAAGATAAGGCTGCTGTGTTATTTTCATTATGACAGACGTGCTGCTGATGTACTAGAAATTCTTTTTCAAAAAACTCTCATCACACAGAGTTAGTGATGAATCCTGTTAAGTGGAGACAGATATCACACATCAAAAAACCTTTACTGGAATTGTTCGAATGCCAGTCCAATTAACATAGTAAAACATTCCTTTGAATAGAAATGTGAGCTGCTCCCTGTTTGGCCCTTTAAAGCTGTTATGCTTCCGTGCAGCATTCACTGTTAGATCAGTAAGAATGTGAAGGTGTGCTTCACATCAGTAATGCCGAATATGAATATGCTTTCTTGAAACATATTTCATCTCCAGTAAATGTTTTTACCTCACTTGAAATTCTGTTATGAACACGTTCTAACTCCTTTGCATTTTAAATCTCAGTGAAAACTGTCTGTAGTGCAGGATATTTTTATTAGAATTCATGTCAGTTTACTTTGACTTCTCTTAATACGTATAAAGGCTGCAGTTACATTTAGTGACAGTAAATGCTGCATACTACCAAGAAGAGTAGAGCCCTTTAATAGCTTGCTCCTGGTCACTCCATCGAGCCGGATTCTCATACTTGCATGCACGGCCACCGCATGCCATCGAGCACTGCATGTGCCCAGGGATGACGTGGCGAAGGCGCTCCCCCACTTTTGTGTATTTTGCCGTCGGCCGCCTTGAACTTCCTATAACAGAGGCAAAAACCCCTTCAGTAAGAGCCTCGTGAATTCATCTCCACCATACAAGTATTTGTTCAACCTCAAATGATAAAGTTACAAAGAGCATAAATGTACAGTATATGTTTACAACTCATTTTTCAAGGCAGACTCTAAGGATTCTGAGAAAAAAACAAAACGCTTGCATTACTAAAGCTGGTGTTTGTCACAGCAGATGTGTTCTTTTCCTGATGAAGTGCAACACCCTGTGCAGGGCAACAACTGACAGACACCTGAAATCAGAAAGAGCCACATCCGTGTGGTGTGGCAGGTGCATGAAGGTGTGCTTCTATTTTATGTTACAGTGAAAAGCATGCATTAATCTTCAGATAAGGAATCAATGAACAAAACACAAAACACAGGAAAAAAACCACTATTTTATGCATGTATATATAAAATACGGTCAACAGAACAGAAGTGTATGTATTTATTAACAGAGTCAACAACAACAACAGAACTGCCAACAGTCTTAAGGAGATCTACTTTACTTTTTTTCTCAGGAAAAGTTGCATCCATCTCCTCGGGGCTCAGCGACGATATTGCCACCATCACCCGGTGCGTCGATGATGAAAGAACCTCAACAACTGAGCTCCGGCGCCTCTGGATGATGCGAAGAAGCGGATCGGAGGAAGAATGCCTCCGACCCTGGAAAAAGTTGCTAAAAATACTCACTGCTGAGCGCCGCCGGGGTGAGCCCTGCATGATGACCAGCACCAGTGACAGCACAGCACAGCTGCCGAGCAGGCACGGGTCTGAAAGCCAAGTTGCTCAGCACTGAAGTTGCAGCGAGATGCGCATCCCTCCGTCTGCTGGAGCAGCTAGTCAGCATGGGCTGAGCTGTCTCCATAGTGACAAACAATGAGGGCTCTGCTGCCAGCCAGCCCCGTGGCAGTGACATTCTATATGAATTGTTTGGGACAAAGTGTTCCGCTGCTGATGAAAATAGTTGCATTTCAAGTAGATAATTTTGAAAATGGACTGGGAACAACCAAAACATTTTTCCATAAACAATGTGAGTATTTTAGTTAGTTGTAAATAACATACATTCAGAACTCAGTTAGGCACAAAATAATATATTCAAGAGAACAATCAAAATGTATTTGGAGGCTCTGCTTCCTGAGGAATCTGTAAGTACATTATACGCCCCCAACTCCTGGTTTTACATTCCACAACCACCTCTCTCCCTCTGCTGAGCTGCTGCAAAATGCATCATTAGCTCTGTAATAATTGGGATTAGTGTGCTGCTACTGAAATGGCTCATTACACGATGAATTGTAGACTGTTCACTCTGGACCATTCATATCTTCTAACAAACACAATTTGTTACTCAAAACAAAAGGCTTATTTTTTTTCAGGGCACAGCTCTTCTATTAACCAGAGCTGTTAGCCCTACAGAGTGAGATAAAGCAGATTATGGGGAGGAGAAGATGCATCAGTTGAGTGCTTTAGGCTTTTGAAGGTAGGTATTAGGTGGCAAATTGCCTCCCACTTTGCTGCCAGCGTGCTAAGAAAGAGAATGAGCTGGCCAGGAAGATTACTGTGCTCTCAAAAGCACAACATTCTCAAGCAACTTACGTGGAGAACGGATTACAGAAATGTGGATGTGTGTTTTTTTTAAAGTCATCCAATTGTCTGAGTGTTAAAGGGGAGAGAGCAGAGAGATGAGGAAAACTCACCATAGCTTTGGTCAATTAACAGAATCCCACTGTGTTTTCCCTAGGTTGTATACTTCATTCAGTCTGATTTTTCCTTTTGTGTTATGGAAACAGTAACCCTTAAAGAGGAATTTTGTATGAGAAAGCTCTTTTTTTATACAAAATCATGAGGCAAAAATCTGCTGTTTCTTCCAGGTACTGAACAGGGACTGAGTGACTGAATATTGAATACTGCAGCCCCACTGTTAAGACACAGTAAGGACTTCTGTAGAAACCAGGCATCTGGACACATCTGTGGTGATGTTGTATGTGAAAAGGAGAATGTTAAGGCTCAAAGATCTGACTGTCCTAATGAAACCGATATAAGAAGATTGGGAAATACTTAAATATGCTTTTATTCTGGGTGTCAGGTTGAAGAGAAGGGAAGGAGATGAAGGTTCTTCAAGTGCTGCCTATGTCCAGCCAACAAACAAACAAAAAATGCTTCTGAGTTAATTACATTCTTTCTCACATTTCATTCTTAACTCTTTTTCTTCCCAGAATTTTTTCTCCTGTATATATCAAGTGATAATGGAGCCAGAGATGAGCAAGTGAAAATGCTGCATACCATTATTTTTCCACTGAGTCTAGCATGATTTGCAAGTACTCACCCAGAAACTTTCAATATTGGAGTGGGTTTTTTTGTTGAAGGTTTTTTGTGCCTTCAGAGAGCTGGGCAGCTTCTGAACATGGAACCATTTCTCTAAGCAAGAGACTTGGCAAACTGAAAGTTACTGAAAAGTTCAACATCTTAACACATCGTGGCAATAAGAAGTCACACAGTTTGCTTTTGCTATAGACATTTTATGCTTAAAATTTGGGAATAATGTCCATTTTTCCCCTATGGAAAATTGCTTCTTTTCAGAACTTATTTAAGCTGTTTATATCAATAGCATAAGTGATTGATAAAATCAGTGGATGATAAAATCATTACCTGAACTCATATTTGCAAGATACACACTGCTCTCTAGCAACGAAGAGTATGGTAGTTCATTTTGCAGTAAAACTCCTGCAGCCATTGCAGTACCTGTGGAAACAGTAATATGTTTGCTGTCACTCTGCAAGCTCAAAAAAGCAAAATAAAGCTGAATTAAAGCTCAGTACCTGGCACCTGGTTACAAAGTCATCCAAGGGTTAAGATCTGGGCATTCAGGCACAGACCATTACTTTCTTTTTGGTGTGCAGTCTTAAAATTCACCGGTTCTGCTATCTGTCCTAGCAATAAGAAGTCACCTGTGTATTTCCAGCTCCAGAATCTGGCTGATGTTGTACCTTACAGTTGTGTTTTATATGCACAGGAGCCACTCACCTAGAAACCTTTACAGCCAAATCAATTTTCTCAAATTCTTAAAAGCAAACATACAACTATAAATCCTGCACTGGAAGCTTCCAAGGGGCCGTTCCAGCAAAACCAATGATGATAGCACTATTTCCAGATCACACCATTCATAATTTTAGTCCAAGCAGACTGTGTAAGGTACGTGCCTTCTCTGTTCTCTTTCCTCCATTCTGTTTTAGTAAGCTGGCAAGTTTGAAATCACATATATGAAGATTCCCCTTTAATAAGAAAACAGAACACAAGACTGTCTAAGCAGGAAGCATGTTTTCCTATAATACAAAGCAAGCTGAAGAGACTGTATCTGAAAAACAGATAATACAAGGAAAGCTGTCAGTGTGAACTTATTAATCAGTCACTGTGATGTTTAAGTAAAACAACTTCATGGCTCCTGAGTGCACATCCTTACTTCTCATATCTCAATAGTAAAATAGTTGCAAATATAGTACTAAAAAAAGCATGTCCATGCTATAACTATTGAAACTCTTCTAAATAAACCTTCAGTCCCAAATTCTGCGAAAATAATACTAAGATTCAGTGCCACAGTGTTCTAAGAGACAGGTTTACTACAATCATAATAATGAGGATTATTCCTTGGTAAACAGTCCAGTGCTGTGTTGAGGTATTAACTGCTTGTCATTCATTCTGCATGAATATTAACTATATAATATATTAACTATAATTCTGAGTAATTCTTTAGGTAAATAATTGAATCAATTCACATTAAATTTAATTTATAGATATTATATTATCTAACACATACTTATATTGAAACTATTCTTCTATATGTGTTTATGGACTTTATTCCACATCAGTGTCACTGAGTACAGCTCTGTCCCTTACTTATGGTCCCAGCTTATGGTGGGAACAGCATACACATACACAAAGTAACCCATCAATATCTGCTGCATCAGTGGCCTCAAAGAGATGAGAATTGCATTTGTCTGTGAAAGCCAAGGGGTCTTTTGAAAGTTCATTGATGCTAAGCATGACATTCCTTATGTAAATATGTATATTCTGAAGAATGTTCATTAAGATGAGTCTTAATGTAGAATAGAGACGCACATTTTCTACTCAGCTGCTTGACCATCTGACTGCACTTTACAAGTCCATCCCATAATAAACCGGCAGGAATACATGCTTGTACTTGCATTCTGAGAAGCTCTAGTATCCCTGTGTTTTTTTTCCAGTGGCTTTTGAAATCAGTTAGGGATGATTTTCAGTCAGAGGAAACTGCAGCTCAAGAAATCACTGTTTTATCCCCAGAAGTTCCATTTAGGGTTAATACAATTGAACTGCCAAAAAAAAAAAGAAGAAAAAAAAAGTGTTTCTATTTCTCAGAAACTTCTCTCAAAAAATCTTGACAGCTTCTCCAGGCAGCATTTCAATATGTGAGGTCTCATCACACAGGCAGCGGGAGCACCAGCAGTCACACCACTCGAGACCAAGGGGTAAAGGCTGTGTTTTGAGATAGTAAGGACCAATTTGGTGTTGCTGTTACTGCAGAGGTGCATTACATTCCTGCACTGATAAAAAGAGTGTTGAGAGCTGGAATAGTGTTTGGGTCAAAGGAACAACAACTGCTTTTCCAATGTACTGCATATTCTTAGTTTTAAAAGGTCCTCTTCAGCATTTTGTTCATCAGTTAGCACCTGATGGACGCTAGAGAAAATCAAGCCTCAGATGTTATTCCAGGTCATGTTCTTTATGAGCTCTCCGAGGGAGCTGAGTCACGTGCATCGTGGCAGTCATGATACCACCTTAATCAGATCTGCTCTGTGCCATGCTTTTCTATTGCCATGACAGCAAAGAGGCTGCTCTTTTAATCCTGGTATCACAACTTAAGAAATGGAACAGTGTCTTAGGTGATTGATGTTCCATCTCTTTACCGTGGGAAGCAATGTCGTTAAGCTTGCACAAACAAGACAGGTAAAGAAACGGGAGTAAAAATAACATCTGCAGTGCTGGCTGACTGAAACAAATGTCAGAACCACAGTGCCCAGGGAAACGGGTCTGTAGGAGCCAGACACCAAGCACTAAGGGGATATTCCAGCAGTCCCCTTCGAGGCATGCATTCTGTACTTGCTTTGGTGTTTCTCTGTGTACCTTGGAGGGCTTTTCCCCACTTCTGTGCAAACCAGATCCTAGCAGAAAGGATGTCTCAGATTTTGTTGCCAATTCACTTATTGCATTTGATAACAGATGACAGCTGTCACATCCAACTTGCTGTGTCATATAATCAGAGGTGGATTTCTGTCAGAGGAAATTGCACAGGCACACTGTGCTTCCTTAGGTGAGATCAGTCTGTGCTCCCACTAAGTTTCTAAGGGGTGATGCAGCCTCTAGAATAAGAGAACCCTTAGTGAAGGTTAAGCAGCAAAAAGCCATGCAGCAAGTCGGACAACTGAGAGATGGGGGCCTGCAACTGGCTGGCGGGCAGCTGCCCAGAAAGGAGGAAAGTTCACAGCACTTACACCACAGCCCAAAACTGGCTGAGGTGTCATTCTGCCTTGCATACAGGATGAGCATTTCCTATGATTGCAGGATCTGGAAATCGGTGTTTTCCAGTTGCTGGGCTGAATTTTTGCTTCAGAATGCACTGAGAGAAGGAAATAATGTCTAATGTTTTAGCAGCCAGAAAACAAGCCCCAAAGATTCCCACTAAGATTCCCACTATACCTTAGCAATTAATATGGTTGTTTAACAGATGCAGTTACTGTCTTCAGAACATGCTTTCAAACAGGAGAGTTTGCTTTCCAAACCGGAATGATTCCAGTGGTGGCAGTGCAGCTGCCAGCACACAGTAATCCTCCCCCATTTCTGTGGAGCTGTTTACTAAGAGTGAGGACCCATTTCCCCAGATTTGTATGGATCTGGTAACCTAGAATATGACAGCAGACCACACATTGAAAAGATTGGTTTCATGTATTATCATAAAAATCTTGGGTAATCTTTCCATTGTAAATACATTCTTACATACAAGAGAGGCAAAGGCTGATGCTTATGCCTGTCACATAAAATGTGGAGATCACTTGTAGCATTTTCTTGCTTTTAAAGTGATTTGTTCTCCCCCCTATGGCATTTACAGACAAGGAAAAAGCAAATGGGCAACCTGCTAAAGGAACACAGTCAGTGCAACTGCAGGTAGGGGCCACACTAGGATAGCACCTAAGCCCTCAGGTAACATTTACTCCATGGCCTGGTTCTGTAAGTACTTATCTTCTTGAATGGCTTTGCTCCTGGGAGCAGTCCCACAGAAGTCAAGAGGATATCTGTCTAAATATCAGATTATATGGCATGAAGTTTCATTGCCTGAACACAAAGTTCTGAAAACTGCACTAATTAAGATGTTTAGAAATTAAAGACCACTCAGTTAACAAGACAAAGCAAAAATATGACCATGTGAGGACTGTTTATAATTAATGACAAGGTTAAGAGCTTTGATTGTTATGAATGGTGAAACAAAATTAAAAGCACTAGCTAGGAGCTACATCAGCAACTGGAAAAGGCAAATAAACACACTACAGGACAAAGGGAAGACGAGGTATTAATTTGAACACATCTTCATACAGTTCAGAGGTTTATGATTTGCACAGCAGAACAGTACTGCAGCTGTTGTAGGACTGCTCTGATTTCACACAGCCAGATCTGATTTGTTACTTCCATAAGTAAGTGGTATTTTAACCCTTAGGAAAAAAATTTCAACATTTATTGTAGTTTATGGTGAATGTCATTTAATCATTATGCATTGTATTTAGAGGACTGTAACTGCTTTCACATACAAAAGAGACAAAAGAATTTAATTCATTAGAAAGTTATGTAGGTGCTGGTCTGGTGATTCACTATTTGCTATTAATAGCTTTTTTTTACATGAATAGCAACCGAAAATGGGCAGGTCTATCAACTGACTGGATTCGTCTCACTGAGTCACGTCAGCTTTCAGTGCTAACGCAACAGTTAACAGAAGTTGTCTTAACCTGCCTTGCACAGGCTGGCAACCAGTAATTACTATTGAGAAGTACAAAAGAGGGGTGAAAATGAATAAAGGAACTGCTCTACAAACAACACGAATGAGTTTGATATTCCTGATCCTGTACTGTGACAGATTTTTGTATGTAAGACTACATACAAAAGAATGGAATACCTTCAGTGCTGCTGAGTGCTACTGAGGGAATTTGAAAGTGGAAAAGATCTAAAACGGAACTCTACAAGGTAAAGGGGTTACACCTCAAATAGTCAAAAACGTCGTAAATTTAAGTGAGTCTTCAAACAGAAGTGCAGGAATTTCAGTCTAACATCTTACCTGTGACCCTGCAAAAAGAGTGAGTGAATGCTGATCCCTTCATGGCTGCAGTACCATCCCCAGAAATGCGCTGTAGGGACACCCCGTTTACAGAAGAGATGCTGAATTATGTTGCTGCAGTGTTTCCTGTGGTTAATTGGATTCACGGTGGTAATCTGGGAGGAGCCAATAACTATCTTTTCTTAACTTAAGACTGTATGAGGAATGCCTTGCGGGCTATGCAGATAATCATCTCATGAACTGCTTTCTGCGTCTGCCTAGATTTCAGAGGGATTGAGGCAAAGAGGCCACGCCAAGCTCTTCAAAGAACACAGCCCTTCACACCACCCTGCTCTGTCCATTCCGTTCACCTCCACATGCTATATGCCCCCAGAAGCGTGGG